CAGAGGATATGAATAGACATGTTTCCAAGGAAGACATACAGAAGGCCTACATGCATGTGAAAAGATGCTCAACATCACTAATTATTTGGGAAATGTGAATCAAAACCACAATGAGATACCACCTCACACCTGTTAGAATGGCTATTATTAAAAAAGATAAGAAATAACAAGTACTGGAGAGAATGTGAAGGAAAGGGAGCCCTCAGGCACCATTGGGATGTAAATTAACGCAGTCACTGGGGAAAAGAGTATAGAGTTTCCTTTAAATAGTAGGAGGGGATGGGGTAAGGGTAGGGAAAATTGGAGAAAAGGGGTTCAATATGTGGTAACAGAAGGAAACTAGATTTTTGGTGGTAAGCATGCAATCGAGTATATACATACTGAATTATAATGCTGTAGAGAGCTGAAAGCACGTAAAAGGGGTGTCTAGCTTAGCTGGGAGCCCCACCAAGCCCGCCCCAATCCCAGGGATACTGGGGCTTCTTGCCAGTAAGGGGAGCGGAAGGCCACAGGATGGAAGCCTGGGCCCGAGGCCACCTAAACCCAGAGGCTCAGTGCCCCTCACACCCACCATTCTGCTGTGGCCACGGGGATTTGGCTAATCTCCCACTTGTAGCTTCTTCACTTGGACCCATTTCACAGCCCACTTGTCCACGTTGGACTTGGTGCCCAAGGGCAGGGAGGTACCACTCTTGACCACGCTTGCTTTTCCCAGAGCGCTTTTCCCTTCTGAGTCCTCCCTTTTGGAGCTCATCAAATCCTACAGTTACGTGTGTAAAATCTGGGTGTGCACAAAACAAGTCAGCACACCTCCCCGGCCTTTCAGGGCACAACACCAGCTTCTGCTGGCAGAGGCCTCAGGCGCAGGGACACAAGCCTCACCTTGACCTCTATTTAGACACTGTCTGAACCCGCTGTGTTACTAAACTACACTTGATCTTGTTCCTTTTGGCTCTACATGGCCATAACTCTTTAAATTCATTTTTATTTTGAATTCCTATAATTGATCATTTTGGTGTAAGTAAATATATCTCAGTTCAAGGTACACAAAAGCTGCATAATTATTTCTAATTCCAAGTATAAACTTAGCTTCACTCACTGGCCTCTGGACAGAAATAGTACTTTTTATTTTTATTTATTTATTTTTTTTTTAGAAATAGTACTTTTTAATGAGTCGTGCTAAACAGACCTTCTGTTTGACCTGAGAGAAGAGCGAGGAGGTGGCAGGAGACTAAAGTAGCAGCAGTTTCTGGGGCCTTGGAGTTCACCTCAGTGGGGGGATCCTGAATGGCCCCTGACCTCGGGGGTCTGCAATCTAACCAGGTAGAAAGGACCCAGAACCAGGCTTGGATTTGGAGGGATCTTCAGGGCACCGAATGTAACCTCCTGCCCAAAGGGGGAGCTCTTCTCTGGGGAGCCAGGCCTTCACCTTCGTATTGCTCCTAAGTGAATGTTTAACAGGGACCCGGACAACTGCATTACATAGTTGGGGAGCCAAATTGTACCTGGAAGGACAGACGCACAAGGGGGGCTGAAACAGCCCTGGAAATCAGGACTCTCCGCTGGGAAAACAGCACTCAGAGTAGAGAGGAAACCTTCCTAAAGGTCTGGTGGGTGGGGGCCAAAACCTCTCTTCTCCAGATAGCAGGTTACTCCCGCCACCAAACCACTAAAGCCCCTTGGTCAGTACGAGCACAGGGTCCAGAACAGTGTTCTTAGCTGTTGTAAACTCTCCTCCTTCCCGCAGAAGCACACCATACGCTGGGACCCCATTTCGTCTCTCCATTGCTAGCACGTGGTCCAATGTGGTCCACATTCTAGGTGTTCGTTAAATGTAGATTTAAGGGCTTCTTCACATCCTTCACACCTTTTTTCCACCGAGGCCATGCAACCACCATGTTCAAATACAAAAGCTTCAGAAAGAAGGAACAAGCCTTATTTTCCACTCAAACCAAAGGGAGTGGAGTGTGCTCCTCCGAGAGGTCCTGCTGGGAGAGAGGCACACACTGAGGCCAGGAGAGAACCCCTGGGCACCCACCATTCCTCCTTCCCTCCGAATTATATGCAAAGAATTTTTGGAGTGGAAGGTAGGTAACTAACCTAGGTCAACCTTCTGTTTTATCCAGAAAAAACTAGGCCCAGGACTACGTGTCTCTCCACTGTCAGAGTGAAACAGAAAAGCAGGGCTTCTGACTTTGTGGGTGAGATGCACCCCCTTTAGTCTGACATCCCTGTCATGAGGTGGGAGCGGAGGGCCACTTTCTGATACTGTCAGGGCCTCCGAGGCTGGTTTTAACTAAAAGCATCCAGCTTGGCCCTTTTCTTGCTTTTTCCTTCTGAGTCCTACATAAACAAAAGCTTACTGCCATCTATAGGACACCCTGTATCATTACTTCGAATTTCTACCTTTGGGCCATCTTTATATCCCAGCTACTCAGAATTTGTTCTAAAGGTTCCACCATCTCACCCAGGCAAACCTCTAACACCTACTAAGTGCCAGAGACTGAGGATCCGAGTTCCTGCACACAAGCCTCACCTTGACCTCTATTTACTGTCTGAACCCGCTGTGTTACTAAACTACACTTGATCTTGTTCCTTTTGGCTCTACATGGCCATAACTCTTTAAATTCATTTTTATTTTGAATTCCTATAATTGATCATTTTGGTCTAAGTAAATATATCTCAGTTCAAGGTACACAAAAGCTGCATAATTATTTCTAATTCCAAGTATAAACTTAGCTTCACTCACTGGCCTCTGGACAAAAATAGTACTTTTTAATGAGTCGTGCTAAATACGTACTAAGTAGTTCTAAGCGTGCTCTCTTTTCATATACCAACTCACTTAATCCTAACATAGAGGAAGACTGAGAAAAACTGCTATCCTTCTAAGTTTGGTAAAACCCTCATCGAGATAAAGGCAGAGCTGCAGAGCACTCTCGGAGGCATGCAGACCTGACTGCAGTATTAGCCCTCCTCACCATAGGTGCTGGCTCCCAAGAGCTGGTACACAGATGGCTGAGAAGCAAATCATCGTATGGAATTAAGGCTCTTTCCCAAATACCCTGGGAAGGCTGCCAAAGGCTTTCCCTGAACTGAGAGGCAGTGCTCTGACAACAGTATCACAGCCTCTGGATACAAGATTAAGTAACTGCCAATCTTAAGCACCCAAGTCCAATGCTGCTCCCGGGAATGCGGTTCCCTTTAATCACATCACAGGAGTTGCCACAGGGGCACAGAAAATTTTATGAATATTCCAATTCTTGAGTCATAGGTTCCATAGCAGGAAACGGTTAATATGCACCCCATCCCCAACTATAACACCAAGCAAACTGTCAAATACCTTTAACTAGGATCTTAAGATTTCCTCTAAACTATTCTCTAGAAACATCATTTGTGGCTTGAAGTCTGCCTTTTTAACAGGGACACAGAAACAAAAAAACGCTTGTTTGCAAATAAACATCAGAAAGACTATGTAACAGCTGATCTGGGCCACAGCATGACAACAAAGTGACGATTGTGGAAGAAGACAATGCAAACAACTCTGGTGCAAAAGTCTCAGGGCAGAGAACTTGCAGGATGGGTATTCCCACCGCCCAAAGGCCCCACCCAGCACAACAGAAGCTAGGAGGGTCTCCATCACTGGGCAGTTTATTACCTGGGTCGAAATAAGTCACTGCCACTAACAGCACTGTGCAGTTTTATTAACCATTCAAGTACAGTAGCATCTGGTAAGATGGGGACAGAATTGGGATTTAAAAGTGAACAGATATTCAGCATCTAACAATTTAAAAGAAGCCACTACATACTCTTTTCACAAACATGTTTTCACAGAGCCAAAACAGTACTAGCCATTGACCCAGCACACCAAGTGTACTGAAGTAGAAAAGATACAACAAGAAAAATAGCTACATTAGAAAGACCTCAACACTTTAGAAAAAGAGTAAAACACTTTCAGTTTCTCCCCTTTAACCCCTAAAACAACATCATACAATTTGGATCTACCTATGGTCCTACATCAGCTTCTAGAATATTTGTCAGGAGGGCAAAAATAAAATGACACTGGCCAGTACAGTCTTTGGATATTTAGGAAGGGGAGGGGGAGAAAATCAGTTCTCAAAACAAATTAGTCAGCTTCAGTCTCATCAGCAGGATCTTTGGATTCTTTGTTCTTCCGCACTTCTTCAATGTGCTTGTCCTGTAAAAAACAGTATATATCATCAGTCAAATAAAGCAGCCTGCCAAGTCACACCGCCTGAAGAGGCCCAACACAGTGCCAGTACGTTTATTACATAAGTAATAATATTATAAATATAGTAGTCACCCATTTCCTCGGTTTTGCTTTTCATGGTTTCAGTTAACTGTGGGCAACTGCAGTATGAAAATATTAAAAGGAAAACTCCAGAAATAAACATTTCATAAAGTTTTAAATTATATGTCGTTCTGAATGGCATGATGAATTCTCATGCTGTCTTGCTCGTCCTGCCAGGATAAAATCATCCCTTTGCCCACTGTATTCACATTGTACTACCTGCCTATTAAGTCATTTAGTAGCTGTCTCAGTTATCAAATCAATTGTCACGATATCACAGTATCTATGTGCACATAACCCTTCTTTTACTTAATGACCTGAAAATACAAGAGTGGTAATGCTGGCAATTTGGATATGCCAAAGAGAAGCCGTAAGCTTTATCACAGGCAAGTATGCACAGGGAAAACAGTGTATACATTCAGAGTTTGCTACTATCCGTGGTTGTAGGCATCCATTGGGGGTCTTGGAACACAGCCCACACAGATGAGGGAGGACTACTATATAATTACCTTATGTGAATCACATAATTAAGAGTTCTAAGACATAATCTTCAAACTTCCTGGATCACCCGAGGAATCTAATGATTGAGCCTCCTACTGTTCTTCCAAAGAAAGTGCAATTATGCTAGAAATTGTTGAATAATTCCATCTTATTTTTATTGATTTCATTTTTTTAAAAATATATTTTTATTTCAGAGAGGAAGGGAGAGGGAGAGGGAGAGAAACATCAATGGCAGAGGTACTGCCATGCCTCTCTGCTGGGGATTGAGACCACAATCAGGCATGTTGCCCTTGACTGGAATTGAAACCTGGACCCTTCAGTCCTCAGGCTGATGCTCTACCCACTGAGCCAAACCGGCTAGGGCTATTCCATCTTATTTTAAAACAATGTGGTTTTCAGCTTCTCCTCTGCCATTTTACTGAAGTTGTTGTTCTCTTCGATTGCTTTCTGAAGCACTTCTTTCTCGTGCTCTCGTTTCTCAGCAAGCTGCTTCAAGACCTCAGCTTCATGGGACTAAAGGCAGAACATGAGATCTCTTCAGATAACACTGAAGCCGGGCCCTGGATTATCTGTATCTAAATATTGTGAACATCATTTTCTAGTGTTTGTGCTTACTTTGGCAAACTGTTTGCTCAGAGAACCTTATCCAATTACTCCTTAAGGAAATTCTTGTAAGATTTACTGCTTAATGGTATCAAGATGACTTGAGTGAGATGCACTTAAAAATGGGACTTTATTATAAAGAATTTTGTTCTTTAACTTCAAAGGCTATCCAGAGAAAATTAGCTCACTATAAAAAGTGTAACCATCCTGATAAAAAATGCATGAATGACAGGAATTGTAAGCCTCCAGATTACCGTTTAAGCCAAAAGGATTTCTGTCTCAAAGAAAAGCTTTGGGCGGGAGGTAGGGGGGTAAGAGATCAACCAAAGGACTTGTATGCATGCATATAAGCATAACCAATGGACATAAGACACTGGGGGATAGGGGAGGCTAGGGGACTGTCTAGGGCGGGGGAAAAAAATGGACACATATGTAAAACCCTTTGTAATAAAAAAAAAAAAAAAAAGAAAAGAAAAGCTTTCCTCTGTGGAAGCTGCACTAACTTCCAGACCCCTGGAGCTTGACTACCATCGTGTGCCTCCTTCAACAGACTCGGAATAGCTTGTTACCAAACAGACTCCGATGTGTTTGGAAGCACTGACTTGCAGGAAAACTACAGAGCATCTGCCACTGGCTCTGTTAATTCTCTTTTGCAAAATCCCAATCAGACAGGAGTTTCCCTATGTTTAGTCAGTCCCTATGTAAAGCACAGGCTAATGGCCACAGGGCCACGGTGCATTTCTCAATGCTTCTCTGTCCAGCTTTAGGCTGCATTTCTTCCATGAGCACAAACGACAGAGGAGAGCAGGTAGGGGGCGATGCATCACTGCACACTGCCATCTTCCTGGGGAAAGGCTTCGCAGTGTGGATAGTGGGCCAGTGTACGTGCATTCTACTGTGGCATTGAAAAGTGCACAGCACATGCTATAGAAGCTTAAAAGGGGGCCTATATGTAGACATGTGTGGTTACATGTATTGGACTTAAATTGTACTTGCTGTGTGATGGGGGCAGGTTATTACTTTTACCTTTTTCTGATTTCAAAATTAAACCCATTAACCCCAATCAGGGTTATTGGTAAGGGGGACTAAATGAGAATTTATGTAAAATTCTCAATTAATAGAATAATGTTGAATGGAAGGAAATATTCCAACATGTTATTGGTTATTTCTAGGAAGTAAGATAATAAATACTCAATTTCGTATTTATAAACTTCTGGGTTTCCCAATTTTTCTATAACAAGCATATTAATGCTTATTGATTTTTGATTAGTTATTTTTAAAGATGTCTACTTTAAACAGAATAGCTTACACAAGAGAAAAGCTGCCACAATACCAGAATGCCAGCTGAGCAATAAAATCACACTACTAGCAATTTAAAATGATTTTTCTTTTTCTTTCTTTTTTTAAATTGATTTCAGAGAGGAGGGGAGAGGGAAGAGAGACACAGAAACATCAATGATAAGAGAGAATCATGGATCGGCTGCCTCCCACTCGCCCCCCACTGGGGATTGAGCCTAAAATCTGGGCAAGTGCCCTGACCGGTAATCGAACCTAGGACCCTTCAGTTCGCAGGCTGACGCTCTATCCACTGAGCCAAAACAGCCAGGGCTGAAGTTTTAATTGTATAGTTCCCAAGGAAACAAAAACAAAAATACTACACAGGCACACACACAAATCAAAAGAAACCCCCAAAATCTAAAAAGACAGAAAAAGAGTCATCCACCAATTCCTTTTCAAAGAAAAAGCATGAGAAGCATGAACTCTGGTTTCAGACAGACCTGGGCTTGAATTCTGGCTCCAATACTCACCGGCTATATGACTGAGGAAATGACAACATTCTCAAGACCATTTCCTAAGCTTGGTATCTATCACCTACCCTTTTAGAGTCACTGTATTAAAAGAGAAAAATATAAGTAAATAAGTTGGTGTATAATAGGAGCTCAATAAATGATGGTCGGTGTTTTCTTCCAGCCACTGGCATTACGTAATTTTCACGTAAGTATAACCACTGTCTAGCTACAATTCTGTTTTCCGCCTGTTGTGGAAACAAAACTGATTTGCCACATTACTTTAATAAATACCATTTTCTGTGAATTGTGATGTTTACCTTGCGTCTTTCTTCTGCAGCTTCTAATTTCTTCTGAATTTCCTCCAGGGAAAGATCCTTCTTCTTTGGAGGGGAAAGGGGGAATTCTGGGACGGATTCTTTTGATCGAGGGCTGAGAATCAGCTCAAAAGCCTGGCCTGAAGCACGCTTCTCCAATTCTTTCACCTGGATATCTGGATTTGATCGTATTTATAATGTATTCAGAAAAATAGGGCTTTCCTATTCTAATAAGCTGTTCTATAATTTTCTAAAAGCCAAATCAATGTAATGAATAGAATTAGGGCTAATGAAGCTGCGTTTGCAAGCAAGAAATTATGTAAATACCACGTCCCCAAAAAACAAAGTTCAGCATTTTCTGATTAATAAATACCATTTTGATATATCAGTATATGACAATCACTTTCATGAACAAAAGAAAGACTTGTGCAAAACTCCACATTTTGCTTCGGAGCAAGCCAAATCGTCTAATAATGAAACAATTAATTATAAGCTCTCGGTACGTTCAAATGATAGCCATTTTTTCTTCTTTAATTATTCTCCAATTTACAAAATATGTTCTTTATAAAACCAAAACACAGGTACCAAATTAACGGCTAAGACTTAAGCCACCTCCTATCCTTAAACTATAAGCCCATCACAATTTCTGTTTTCCCAAATCGTTTACCTACCAGAAGAAGCCATGGTGAACAGAAGACAAGAGCCTGGCAATATATTCTACACAATCCACTGGCAAGGAAAGCCCTGAAAATGATTTTCAAAAGCATGCAATCAATTTCTTTGCATTTCTATATGTCATCAATCCCTTGGGGACCTCAAATCACATCCACATAAATCAATGTCAGAAAAAATCACCATCGTGGAATTAAATAAAACATCATTAACTAGAAATTATGGAAATCTCAAAAAATACCAACCATTGGGAAATTTCAACTGAATTAGAACGTTGGTTGTAGTTCACTCAACAGTAAGACCGGAGCCATCTTAATAGTGCCTACAACTCATTGTGCAAATGAAATACCCACCCCTGCTTTGTCTATGTCTGCCATGGTGGAAAACAAAACGCCCAGGCTAATATTAGCCAGTAATGTTGAACTCCTATTGTTCTTGGGGCTTAAGCTCCTTGTCCAACAGCGGGCAAAATTAGTTTTATGAATGTCTACGTTTTACGTTCTATTTGCTGCCTTATGTCACGAAAAATTCTGTATCCTATCTTGATTTTTTTAAGGTCATGATTCTTGTAGGCACTACGCTAGTATCAAAAACCTAAGATTACAGGTCCCTACCGGCTGGAAATTAAAATCAGAGGCAGAGAAATGCTCCAACATCAGCAGAGCATTGAACGCAGCAGCGGCCCCCAGGATGGGCGTGGCCCTGGCCCGAAAGCGGCCCCCGGCCAATCAGAACACGCTCAATGCTCCGGTCCCTGGCCCCGCCCCCTTCCTCCCCGCGCCTTTTCGAATCCGAACTCACAACACCCAGGAGCCCGCGAGCGTGGAAAGGGGAGGGGTGGGCGGGACTAACGGTCCTATCGGATAACTCCGCCCACCCCGGGCTTCTCCCCGTGGACGCCCCCCACTC